TTTCCCTTGGAGGCCTCCCCTCGTCACCAGAGGAAAGCCCTGAACATCTCGGAGCCCTTTGCCGTCTCTGTCCCGCTGCGGGTATCCGCGGTCATCAGCACCAACAGCACGCCCTGCCGCGTGCCTGCCAAGGAGAAGCTTTCCCTCTCCAGCCTGGAGGAGCTGTCTTCCCTGGTGGCCGAGAGCACAAGCCCCTCTGCCCTGGAAGCAGGGACCCACACAAGGACAGAGCAGGTGCCAGAGAGGAAGGAGAAACAGCTGGGGCCCACCCTGCCAACGGCACCATCCAGAGGTAAAAGTGTGTTAAGGAGGGGGATGTGGAACCTCTGTCAGGCTACTGGAGGTGGCCTGCAGCTCGACAGCATGGAGCTTGCTCCAGCCTGCTCTTGCAGCTGGAAAGAGACCAAGCTATAGCAGGGTGGGTGTTGACGGTAGCAGGTCAGGTTGGTGGTCGTTGCAGTAATGAGACTGGGGAGGTGGGTGGCCTCCCAGCAACATCCTGTTGTGCGTGGAGGGAGGTCTTTAGCTTTGTTAGTTGGCATTGGTTGAAAGAGCACAACTTTGTCTCAGGGCACATGTTTTCAGTCACAAGTAGTTACGCCATTCATTTGTGTTTCTGATCCAGGCTCACACCCTGAGGAACTGGTGGCAGCCAGAAAACCTGAGTCCTCAGAAGCTCCACAGCCAGCAGCAGAAAATCAGGAGATGTTATGTGGGCAAAGTAGCTGCACAAGCAGCACCAGCAGCCCTCAGCAGTCCTCAGAGCAGAGTCCCGCCGTGGAACAAACATCAACCCCAGAGGTTCCTACAGGGCCGCTCCCTGCAGACAAGGCTGAGCAAGGACAGCTCAAGATGAAGGATGTCCCCTCAGAAGGCAACTGTGGCCAGCAGGAGATTGAGACAGCTAAGACAGAAGGCTCATGCTTAAGAGATGTGGTAAGGAAGAAAGCATGAGAAAAAAGATGATGGTGACTGGGAGGTTGTTTAAAGTTTCGTTGTGTGTCCGTAGTCATGAAAACTCAGTCTATGACCTAGGCATAGCAGGGTCAAGAACTGACCATGTACTGATTTAACTTCTGTCAACACCACCATGTTCTTTACAGAGCTACCGACTGTCCCATTTTGGTCTTCTTTTCCTGTAACTATACAATTGCAGTCAGTACAATCTGTCTGCTCTGAAAATCTCCAGATGCAAGACTGTCCGGATGTCTGAGTATTTTGACCCATGGTCTCTGAATTCCCCTGCTATTTTTACTGTCCCATTTGTCCTGGACAGCCTGAACAGTCCTTTTTTCTTCCATTCTCTAATTTTATTTTTTTTAAATTATTATTATTTTTGCCTCCTCTGTATCTCTAGCAGAACTTTTTCACCGAGTATCTTACAGCGATACTCATCTCTAGACAGCTATTTAAAGATCTGCTGGCATAGCTCCTTGAACAGATTATTCATTCCAGTTTGTGTGTGATTGGGGAATGCAGATCCTCTGGCAAGGCCAAGTGAGCCTGAATGGGAAGAGCTGAGAAACAGGCTGAGACATTCCAGCTACTCATTCACCTCGCTCTTTCAATACATCTGTCCAGGCCTCATTTTGGCTGCACTTCGGATCTTCTCCTCCATGTACTCATTTGTTTATAGACTAATTTCCTTCCCTGGACTGGTAGCAGTTTGCATGTGTATATTCCTGTACTCATGAGTGTGTTCATCCAGGAGCCTGTCTATTGTAAGAGCGCTCTTTGAGGAAAATGGAGGGTTATTTGCTTATAAGTTGTAAGCTGACAGGTCATGGCATTTCTTCTCTTTTTCAGACCGAGGAGGACCCTGTGAATGCCCTTCTAGAACCACTGTGGCCAGAGATACAGCAGGAACTGAAAATTATTGAACCTGAAGAGGAGCTCTTGCTCTTGCCACCAGCTGTCCCCAAGACAGGCCAAATTTCTGAATCTTCTTCTTCAGTACAAACAGATAGTTTTTCTTCTGTCTCAGGGCAGAGTTCAACACTACCTGAGCAGAAATCTGCAAGCAAAACACCACAGACAGCAACTCAGGTGCCTTTATTTGGTGCCACCAGCATGGAACAACAAGACAGCCTCCAAAACTGCCAGTCTGATGTGGCTGCACCACAGAGCTGTGCTTCAGCCCTACCCAAACTGGGTACTCTTCTAACTGTCACAGCCGCTTCAAAGAACCACCACCAAGTGGTGGAGGACAGCAGGAGAGAATGTCTTACTCCTCCACTGGATTGGAAGCTTCATAGACAATCAGAATTTAATGAGGTTGCCCCGGGTGATGAATTTTCTTGTTCCAAAGGAGCATGTCCAGAGTCAGGGAGAGAAAAAGATAGCACGTGCCAGCTGCAGAAGGAAAAGGATGGTCTTACCAGCGTCCACACTCAGAGGAAGAAGCCTGACATAATGTCTGCTGATGAAAGGGACACATTCTCCTCCAAGGCGCTGAGTGGAGCTGGAATCCAGGAGCTGAAGGAGGGCAATGCTGTTAGCAGAACTCAAGATGCTGGTGACCAGGATGATGAGGACACCTGGACAGATAATGTGCAGAGTTTAGAACTTGTGGAGCCGTGGGAGGATCACCAGTGGGTTACAAGCCCACTCCATTCCCCGACCTTTAAGGACATTCAGGAGAAGATGACACAGGGGTTTCAGCCACAGAGCCAGAAAGCAGAGCCAGGCCTTTCTCTTAGACCACGATTCAGTCGCAGCCTCTCCCTAGACAGTAAAGATACAGTGATGAGTCTGTGGACTATCCCATTCTCATTCAGAGATGCCTCTGACCAGCAGCAACCATGCAATGACATTCTACCAGTGATCTGTAAGCTGCCCAAAACACAACCCATCTCCTCCTCTAGCTTGGGCAAAGCTAAGCAAGATGAGAATGGCACAAGTCCTCCAGAAGAACCTTTGAAACCTGAGAAGCTCAGGTATGCCCTCAGCAGAGAGGAAGGACTAGCTGAGAAAGAAGGACCCTCCAGAATCCCTCTTTCAGAGCCAGAAGAAAAGAAAGCGGATGTAAGCAAAGAAAACCCTTGGAGCTCAAAGCTTGAGCTGTCTTTACCATACCAAAACAGCCCAGGCAGTTCTTCACAGGTGAAGAATACAAAGGAGGAGTTTTCTATGTCTCAGGACACTGCCCTGGGAGGAGAGACTGTTACAAAAGCATTGTGCTCTGCCACTGAGTCACAGCTGAGTAATAAAGGTGAAGAAACACCTCGCAAAGTGAAGACTAGGCCATCGTCTCTCAACTTGGATTCACTCCTTCCAGCCCCAGATTTCTTCACATTTGAGAGCTTGTCCATGCCCTCTGCCCCTGGTAACCTCCTGTGTGGGCAGAAGGAAGTAAAAACCAGTGATTCTGTCCCATCCCTGCCAACTGCCTGCCCTGCTGCCAGTAAAGGCGTCCACTGGGGGTCTCATTTTAATACCCACATGGATCTAGACTTGGATTACCTGGCAGTGGCCCATGCCACCACTGGTCGTCGTAACTCTGCCCCTGTCAGCGTGTCAGCAGTCAGGACCTCCTTCATGATTAAGATGTGCCAGGCTAGAGCAGTGCCTGTGATACCACCTAAAATTCAGTACACCCAGATTCCCCAGCCCCTGCAAGCTCAGAATGCTGCTCTGCCAGCCGAGAAGAAGGAAGTGGAAAACAAGCACACCGTCAGACAGACTCAACGGGTGGCATGGAGCCATCTGGAGACCCCCAAGAGCCCATTGACAGAGAAGAAAGCTAAAGCAGAGAAAGAAAACAGTGACCCAGCTCAAAAGGACTCAGCCTGTCCTTGGCACAGCAGCCTTGGCTCTTCGCTGGAGTCATCTCAGTCCAGTCACCACCCTGCTCTGGATGCCCCTGTTCTGCGCCGAAAGCGCACCTCTGAGGGGGAGACAGCTGGAGATAACCCACAGTCCTCAAAGATGGAGAGACCATCAGGGTTCTCCAAGCCTTCCTATAGATCTAGGCCTGGGAGGCCCCAGAGTCTGATTCTTTTCAGTCCCCCTTTCCCCATTATGGACCACCCCTCCTCTTCAGCAGACTCCAGGGTGTTGTTATCACCCATTAGGAGCCCCACTCAGACCACCTCTTCGAGCCCCATTTGTGGTGATCTGTCTGAGACTCCTCGGACAACACCTGAGGGGGTGACTCTGCGGAACAAAATGACCATCCCCAAGAATGGCCAGAGACTGGAGACCTCTACCAGCTGCTTTTACCAGCCCCAGAGGCGATCCGTGATTCTGGATGGACGAAGTGGAAGGCAGATTGAATAGCAACTGCTTCTCTTATTCCTTTTTTGTGGTGGATGGGATGCGAGTGCCCAAGACCAACTCTGTTGCCATTTTGCTGTTGTTATAACTATTTTGTGCAAGATGGACCTGAATCCTTTACAGTTTCCTGCAAAGCATTTTACTACAGAGGGTCATAGTCTTTTTGTCTTGCTTTTCCTTCCCCCCTTGCCTAGTCCCTCACTGTGTGTTTTTTTGTAAGCCAGTCCCAGGGAACTTGCATTTCCTCATACTCATTGTCTAACAAGCCCCAGGAAAGTCTCATCCTCCCCCTAGAAAATAGGAAAAATAAATCTTGGTATAATTAGAAAACAGGGCTGGGAGGAAACACTGTTCCAAAGCACTTCAGCTCAGAGTGTAGGGGCACAACATCTGCTGAGGAGGTAAGTCCAGATGTTTGGGACCTCCTTCCATTGTTTCCCAGCCACCAGTGAAAGATCATGCCTATCCCTCTCTGTTGTTTGATTTAGTGTAAATAAACAGTGCAGGAGGCTGGGGATAGCTGAGGAGGAAGGTGAAACTGGCACGAGCAAGTCACACAGGGTGTGAGATACCCAGGAATGTTCCAACATACAACCTGAAGATGCTGCCTCCAGCTCTGTCATTAAAGATGTGCTCTTTCCAGCATGTGCAATGGCTGGAATGAAAGTAGCTGTACAGGAAATGTCTAGTTGTTCTTTTATTCTTCCAAGTCCAGCTCATGAGTTTTGTTGTGGTCAGCCACACCTTCCTTGAGCAGACAAGATCTGTGTGACTGGGGAATAAGTGTGTAGCTGGTTGTCCAGCGGCAGAGATTTCTCAGGCTGGTATCAATGAAAGCAAATTTATGGTCATAACGAAGGCCAGTATCAACTATTTTCATCATTGCTTAAAGCCAGATGACACCTCTGCAACTATCTCCATCTGTGCTCCACACTGTCAACAGCAAATAAAAGCAAGAGTATCTTCCCATCTGCATGTCCTTGGGCTATTGCCCTCTTGCACCCTGGCTGACATATCTTTGACCCTTGGTCTTTCATTGCCACTGTGTGGCATGTCCCCAGGTGCTTCTTCCTCTTTTAAACTTCCTCTCCTTGTGATTTCGTACTGTTTTTTAGAGAGCATGGCTGGTTGTCATCTCCCTGCACCTCAATGCTTTCAAATTGATTAAGAGTATGGTGATGAGGATGATTTGTGGGACTGCAGAACAATCATGAACAATATCCTGAGAGGGGGATTTGAAGTGAATTAAACTCCCTCCTAAAAGGCTCTTATTGTTCCAGGCAAATATATGTTCATATAAGCAACAGCTGCCTCGGGAATAGAATTAAAGCTTCCTTATAAAGCCTCTAACTCTATATTAACCGCAGGCTCATCTATTTCCTGGTATATGACTGTGGTACAGCCCGTGCTGTCTCTATGATTTAAATGTCACAAGTGACTATGGAGGAGGTGGGAACACAGGTGTTGCTGCCAGTGCTGAGATTGTCCCTGTAATGGTACTTTTTCAGGGGCCATCGTTCATGGAGATGTCTGAGTTGGTAGGCCCTTGGATGGGTGTTATAGGTTAAGCAGTAACTGAGCATCTGGTAGGAAGTGCTGTAGCCACCACGAGGAGTGTCAGTCAGAATTTCCCAATGGATATATTTTTAGGGCTTTTCCTGTTAGCAAACTCAACCTATAAGCTCTTGGTCTGTACTGAATGTGTCACTTAATTAGTGTCATTGTGGCTGGAGGGTCCAGAGGCTGTACAGTGCTTTCTCTGCACAGTTTGATTGCTAAAGGGAAGATATGTCAGAATACTTTTGAGAAGCTCTGGGCCCACAAATGCAAGGAATGTATCTTCAGTAGAATGCTCTCCTGCCATATCCAAAGGGAGTGTGAAAAAACAAGAGGGCTTTTCCTTGTCACCACTTGCAGTCTTTGATCCTCCCCATTGTCCTCCTCACCTGTGCAATCACACCATATAAGAGGAAACAGAGCAGAGTTTGTGCTGTCAGTTTTGTTGAGAAAGAATATTAAACCAGACAAGAGCCTGGAGTTCTTGTTCAGGTCCATGTTCTCTCATGGATGTCAGCCTATGCTTTACCTGGGCAAGCTGTGGACGGCAGGTCCAGAATATGCAGCTTCATGACAACTGTATTCTCCTCCTCCCGGATGATAAGACACCTGTGCAGCCTCTCATTAAAACTAGGGGATTGCCAGTCCTCATGGTTAGCACAGCTCTGCACTGCATTTACATAGCACCCAAATGCCTTTTTTACTGCCTCATGGGAAAGCTTTTAACCACCATGGGTGGTGTAATGGTAAATTACTTGGGAAGGTTTGATACAAGGTATTGTGGTAAGGCTTTACAGAACGTAAAAGTTGTGGAAATGATGCCCAGGTTTTTTTTGGCATCAACAAAATAGTTTACTTTAGGCAGGGATTTATATTCTCTCAGTTCCTAGAAGTTTTGACTGCTAAGGCATCTGGAACTGAGCCAATGAAGCTCACAAAGTAATATATCAAAAGAAAAAGAGAATGTGATTAAACCTTGGCACCTTAAAACCATTTTTTTTCTTTTTTTTTTCCTTCCCCCCCCTTCTTTATGCTCATATAAGCCGATCTATGAACAAGAAATGAGGTCTGGCAATTTGTATATAATACACTGTCTCAACTCTTAACAGCGTTCCAATAAGTAATAGCACTTTTATAAGTGATGAAGCTCCTGCAAGAGGAAATTACTAGAAATCTTTACTTAATATTAAAGATCAGCCTCACAGACTATAATTTTTAAAGATGTTTCAGAATTTGAACTCAGATCCTGGATTCTAATTAAGCAGAGATTCTGTAATGACATCTCTGTTTTGTAGCTCAATCTCATCTCTGTCTAGAATTTAACCTCCAGCCTTCAGCTGGTGCATCAAACTTCAAAGAGCCTGGCCAAGTTGGCTTCATACAGGCACATCACTGTAGCTCTATGGTCACAAGTGAACTTGTATCAAGAGTGCTGAGATAAAGCCCCAGATCCTGCAGAGTTGAGAGTACTTGTCTCATTGCAAGGTGCACCAGTGCTCAGGTGTCACCATTCCCAGCTCCACACTCAGGCTTCTGCAGAATTTTTAATGCTTGATGATGAATCCATGTTGTTACTGATAGTTGCAGTCAGCTTCAAGGACCAGAGCTTGATAGTTGGACAGAGCCAGAAGACAGAACCATCTCCCATCAAATGGTGCTGAGTGTGTGGTTGGAGCTTCTTGAGATCCAACTTTACTAAGCCATTCCTGAGGTCAGCTTCAGAGTTAGATCTGAAGTCATCTTTGCTTCAGAGCACTTAAGTTGTCCTCTACCACCCTGCAGTAGCAGACTGAACCTGAGACTGGAAAGTTAAGGATTTTGCAGTGGTACATTGTGGATACCAAACTCCTGCCCTCCAGCACAACCCTGAAACACAAATAACTTTAAGAAAGGATTTTGGGTTTTTTTTCCTTTTTTTTTTTTTTTTTTTTTTTTCCCTCTGAAGCATGATGGAGAGGGATAGATCAGATTTATGAGATGGGTCTGGCCTAGAATTTGAAGTTTTGTGTACAGGACAGCTAAGTTGGTTTTTCTTGGTATTACAGAAAAAAACCTTCTTAAACAGACTGGCACAACATTTGTAGCTCTACAAGGATCATTTCAGTACATTTTGATTCTCCTGAGAGTGTGAAGAGTGTAAAGGCTATTCCCAAGTTTGCAGATGGCCCCAGTCTCAGTCATGATATGGTATCACCAGGATATATTGCTTTTGGACTTTCACCAATGGGAGACAAATGGCTAAATGTCACTAATTCTTCCCATGTAGTCAGGGGGTTTGTGCAGCTTCTGTTAAGTGTAGCTCAGTGTGAAAGGGTTGGGCCAGCAAAGATGAGAATCCCCTGATAGAAAGGAGGGATGTGGATCAAGTTAGCTCATGTGGGAACTGCCTTATTGGCAGGAGATAAGACAGAAAGGAGGGTTGTATTTTACTTTATAAACTACATTCCTCTGGGCTGTCCATCCCATGCTATCACTTCAAAAAGATTGAAGCACTTCTTTTTTCACCTTTAGAGCTTCAGGGGAACTGAAGTCTATATTAGAGAGCGACCATAAAGCCCTGCAACATTTTTGCCCATCCAGAGTCCAAATGGTGCAATCAAAGTCTTTCTTCATTCTTTATGAATTCTGAAATGCCTGTAGTGGTGAATATTGTGTTAAATTTATATATATATATATATATAAAGAACATTCTATATAAATATATTAAAAAGGAAATGTAATTAAAATGAAGGAACTACCTAAATACAATCCTGCATATCTGTAAAACTTGGGCTGATGCACAGAACTGTTTTCTGCTGCAACTTCTGTAGCACTGAGGGTGCGAGATCAACTGGCTTTTTGTCCACAGAGGAGAAACTAATTAGTTCTGGCTAATTTGTGGTGGGCAGAAGGCCTGAATCTGCCTTCCTGAGCAGGATCTTGTCCTGGGAGAGAAGGAACGAGATCAGGGGGAGACCAGAGTGTAAGGACTGACATAGCTTTCCACCACAAGCTTCTCCCCAGTCCTTGAAAATGGAAACAGTCTACTGGAACATACATGTTATCTTTCAGACATGCCCAGGTTTTTCAGTTGTCCCTTCTGCTTCTCTCCATCTCTAGGGAAAAAAAAAAAAAAAAGTAATCTTTAGGGATGGGGAGAAGCTGTAACTGACCTCTATTTTGTTTAGCTTTTGCTTGCTCCTAATTGATGTAAAGGCTTGGTGATAATTAATTCTGCTCCATGCAAGGAATGGAAAGCTTGCCACTCAGTTCAACTGGAGATGGAGCTGGACTTTAAGAGCCCTGGAAAGAAAGGATGGCAGGAGGCAAAAGCTTCCTGAGGGCTCCATGCAGCAGCCCAGAACTTAGATCTTGTTCTTACAGGCACTGGTCCCCTTTAAAATATTATTTGCTGCCAGGTCAAGGGAAGGGCTGGAAGTCAGACACTGTGAAAAGGACTGTCCCCA